CTCCTCCGTTTGACCATCTGCGTCCATGCGCCGCTGCGAAGCTCGCGGCCCTGCTGTAATCGTCTGAAGCGTGCGCCTCCGGGCGAATGGTCGGTTATGAACGGCCTGTTGACTCCCAGCCGTTCGTCTTTCGCGCTGCGGAGAGAACAGAACGATGGGCGTGCGCGGCGGCGTCCGACCAGTACCGATTTGCTCCGGGGCTGCTGTCCGGCCGGTTAACGCACGTGTGCTGCCTGCGATGTGTGCCCATTACAGCGGACGCAACCGGCGACGCAGACGCCGTGAACGTGAGCGGCGCACAACGGGATGGCATCGTGGCTCTACTAAAATAGATCTTACCGTAGGAGCGGCTTCCTTACTGAGAACGAGGCGTTGCAGCGAGCCACCTGCGCTGATTCCAGACCACGCGCTGGCAAAACGACACATGGAGGCACGAAAGGGTGAACTGCCGTTTGAATAGTGGCGGCCGCTTTTGGCTGCGAAAAATGTTCGTTGGGGAAATGCGTGACACACGAAGCGTCGCGACTCGAGGTGTGCCATCGACAGCAGTACAGCTCGTGTGCCAAGGAACATAAGCCTTAAGGGCGGCGTCCCACACTTAGCATTTAACGTTGTGCGCGCTATGTGATCACTTCGTGAGATAAGCTCTCCGGATGCTGTTTTCTGTATAAGGGAAACAGTTATGGTGAGGCTAAGAGAATAATGCGGGAAAAGAAAAAGGTTTCATACTCCGAAATTTTTAACATTACCTGCCAAATAAATGCTTATGAGGGATGGCTTCTGCGATGTCTGCATGTGCATTCTATATGCGCGAGTTTAATGTTGATACAGGGAGCAATAGAGAGATAGAGAGAAAAAGTAATAGAAGTCATAGATTTAGCAAGACGACCGCTGCCATCAATATATATATATATATATATATATATATATATATATATATATATATATATATATATATATATATATATATATATATATATATATATATTATATATATATATATATATCTTAGTTCATAGGAGCTGCTGAGAGTTTTTTTTTTGTTCTTGTTGCAATTGTTTCGATTGTTTACCCCCAAATTTCATTCAGGCGGTCATTCTATGTCATGCACCTGATAGAAAAGTTAATCAGCGCTGCATTAAAAATCAGCAGCAGACAAAATTTGACACACTTACGCCGCCAATGAACGTCAGACTCTGCCCAGGCGGCACTGCGAAAAATGCTGCCACCAGCGCTTTCATCGATGCGCCGGCAATAAATGGGTAGTGCAAAGAGAGCGGCCCGCAAGCGAACGTGCATAGGCCCTCCTGTTTCATCGTTCTTGAGATGTGTTTTCTTGAAAATCAAGGACCTGGCAAGCTTCCTCTGTCAAACCAACCTCGCTTCAGAAAAGTGGGAAGCTGATCAAAGGGAAGATGGGCAAATACACCTAATATTTAGCTCAAACTTTGTCTCATACGCAGTAGTTGCACCTGGTTGCGCAGCAAACTGTGCAAGGTAGTCGTGCCTTGCACTACTCAAAACTGCGCCGACAGGTGGCGTTGCGTGTCCGCGAAGCTCCAGAGCCTTACGTCCATACGCACGATCATGAAGTTCTGTTCTCAATGTCTGTAGACTGTGACACCGCCAAGCGGAATTCAGGAGCGTTCTCTCGAGGAGGGTTGCAGATGAGCCCTACGCGGTCGCTCCCTTGTTCGCCTGTGCTAGCCTCAATGTTAACGCGTTAGCAAAGAATGATTACTACGACTCTGCTTGTTTCCTGCATCAGTGAAGAAATCAAGTCTTCCGTGGCGCAGTAAATTTGAATCGTTCTTCTGAGACGCAAAGTTTTTGTGAAAGTACGTGATAAGCCACGCTTTTAATAATAGCCCACAACGCATATGTCAGGTTCTCGAAGTTTTCTGTAGCAGCTACTATTAGGTAAAGGTTTAATCCTGACCTTCCAGTTGGAACTTACTTCATTTTACTGTCATGTAGCATTCATCACTGTTTTTGAAGTGCATAAATCCTATAACGTTCTTTGCGGGAAGTCGCGTGGGCTCGCGATGTGTTCTGCAGTAACTCAGCTATCTCCAACTGGCAATACTTCTAGGCACTTCGTCCTTCGCCAGGAAAGTGCTGTTATCAATCGCGAGAGCGATGTTGCTTTCAGGGTTGCACCGCTTGTTTATGTACGTTTTTTGATAAGTGATGGCACACTGCATGGGATTTGCTTGTCGATCGCTTCGAAAGCAAAACGTTTTCTCTGCCAGGCTCACGTTAACGTGATGACGCAGAATGGGTGAAGGAGTTTGGTGAAGGAACTTCTTCGGGCTTCTTTCGGCAGGTAGGTTGTAATAAACCATGTTGTCGACGAGGATTGTTTACTGCACGCAAAAGGCTGTGAAAACACCGAGTGACAGTGGCGATGAACGATCAGCTGCTAACTCACGAGGAGCGTCTTTCATTTTACGTCCCCTCGAGCATTGATGTTTTTTCACGCTTGTAAGCCAGTTTTATTGTATCCTATGCATAATGTACTTGAGCGAGATCAACCTAAAAGCACACCTTTTCTTTTACAATATATGTAGTGCAACTATTGTGAATAATATGGAGTGCTACATGCCGCCTACACGCTCAGCTAGACCAGCGAACCTTGCTGTCATGCATGGTCTTGATCCATGCCTCTCTGCTAACTTCACGTATACTTTACTGGTTGCTCTCGAACGGCATTATTCATCGACGAATTTTTGCTATGTCAGATAATTCGACGCAGCGAAAGAAATCCGTGGGCATTTATTCCGATATTCATCTGCTGGTCTTGGTGATCGAACCTGCAACATCTGAGCGGAGTGCATTACTCACGGCTATATAGTCTTTATCGCAAACAGACAGCGATGGTACATGGGACAACAAAGGTAACACGAATTTACACATGCACGTTACAGGCACTAGAAGAGCGGAACACACTGAAAGATTGAAGAAGACACATGAAGGAATAGAATTAAATGTTGAAGAAATGTACTTTATTTGGTCAAGGAGCCCCGCCTGGGTGGTCTAGTGGTTAAGGTACTCGGCTGCTGACCCGCAGGTCGCGGGATCGAATCCCGGCTGTGGCGGCTGCATTTCCGATCGAGGTGGAAATGTTGTAGACCCATGTGCTCAGATTTGGGTTCACGTTAAAGAACCCCAGGTGGTCGAAACTTCCGCAGCCCTCCACTACGGCGTCTCTCATAATCATATGGTGGTTTCGGGACGTTAAAGCCCACAAATCAGTCATTTTATATGGTCAAGGAATGTGTTTTAAATCACCAACAAGCTGACGTGTATACCCTTTTAAAGGCTATAGTATGAGCATGGCTGCTACACCAGTGCTACTGATTGGGATGTTAAATGATTGTTTCTTGATGAACAAGTAACTGCGCGCTCCTGAATGGGATGTTAAATGATTGTTTCTTGGTGAAGAAGTAACTGTGCGCCCATAATTACCAAAGTAATGACGACGGCGTAATGTGTTTGCAAACCATCACTACGTTAATGTGGGTTCGCTCAGCAGCGATGGTGCTATACTCGCTAGTGGCTTACTACTGCGGCAAATCCGTCAGGCAGGGTCAGTACTGACTACCTCGGAGTGCCGTTTAGTTCATGCGTTAATTTTGATACGATTTCTTGTAGCAAGTACAAGATTTCGCAAAGCATCGTTTATGCATGGTAACAGCAGCTGAAATATAACGTTTCGCACTACGGAAATTAGGTAAATGACGAGCCCTTAGCACTCTCCAGCGTTGGGGAAAGTCTTTTCGTCTTTTATTCATTTAAATGTATAGCTCATGACCTCTTCCAATGAAAGTGGCACAATCCGTATGTCCGCGCATCCTTTCTGTGCCTATGCTAAAAAACAGGTTTAACCTCGTCCCGGCGCCATTTGGAGTCATACAGTGTGCCACTGCGAATAGCGCCGTGAGTGGAACTGAGGAATTAGACAAAGATGACACATGGCTGTTTAATAAGTTCTACGATTTCACTTACCTAAACCACAATATGATTATCAGGCAAGCCGATGTGGAGGGTTCCCGAAACTTCGACCAAATTGGATTCTTATATATTCTGGTATAGAATTGGATTCTATACCAGCAGGAGATCGAAATCTCCTGCTGGTATAGGACGCCACATCGCTGTTGGCCTCCAGTGCACCTCTAATGAACGCTATTGAAGTCTAGTTGTTGAGGATTCATCACGGAATAAAGTAAGATGTGCAAACACGGAGATAACAGCAGGAAACCAGACAACACACGGTGCCGATTACTGACTGAAAAGGGTCGCATCTTGGTGGAAATAAAAAATGGAAGACGCAAAACTTATCCGTGAAAGTTCAGGAATGGCAGTGCCGCCCGTAAATCTGTTCACATGCACATATACATTAAAGGTAACCAACTTTGAAGGGTCCTTAAACAGCCTCTAAAATACCAAGAACGAGCCCACTGTTCTCTCTTGTTATTCCCCGTCTTTGCGGCAAAAGTCGTGACGCCAGCAGTTCACTCACGTGACATACGAGATATATTACGAGATGCTTTTCTATGCAGTCACGCGTCCGCTATCCCTTGTTATGCATGACAGTACCATTCGGGATGAACTAATTTCCCTTCGTTTTCTACATTTGCGACTGCGCTAGTGGAGAATGCAGCATGTAGTCGAAAAGCATGAAATTCTGACTCACCGAAAGCTCAGTGCTCACATTTCATGTGTTTTATGAAGAAATAATTGGCAAGGAGGAGATAGCGCTTTTATAAGGACAGTGAAGGCGAGAAAGAAAATACTGTCTTGCCTTTGGGGTTCAGAAGTCCAACATGATCAATTTTTATGTAAGGTATACAGTCGAAGGCCGGCTCACATGTACGCTTTCACTAATTTTGATATGGGAAGCTTCAGTAATAAGACGTGATTCATAGTTTTTGTGTCTGTCTCAAGCTGCGCGTTCATCAAGTTTTGATGAGCATGTGTAATTGTGACAATGCAGATTAGACGGCGATCCTTGAGGTGCCTGTGGCAGCATGCTAAACGATTTCTTCCAATGACACGCTTTTACGACCATGCGAATCAGCATCACATCATTTGCTCCTTAAGAAGACGATGCCATCTGAGTTTCAGCAGAGCAGCAGGATGGAAGCATCTGCGGAACACCATCTCGGTGAGTGTGTACCCTACATCACAAGTACCAAGAGACCTGTTGTGGTCTGTGCGAAGTTCCCGTAAGCAGCCTTTTTTTCTGTGGTTGGAGCCCCATTGTGTCCCAACATTCAAAGATTGGCTTAAGGGGCCACAAAAATTTTTCGCAAACAGTGAAATGATAAACTATTTAGAAAAGCAGTTAACTAGCATACCTAATTTTCTCTACGTTCTCATTACCAACTTGTGTTTTTGTTGTTGTTTATTGTAGTCGAATCGCCTGGTTCATGTGTGTGTGTGAGAGAGAGAGGGAAAGAAATCGAAAAACTTTCTTTACAGATTTTTCATCTTTCATTAAACGTATAAGTGCCTGACATACGTTTATAGTCTTATTTTGATGTTTTATGATGCTGGTTATGCGAGTCACTGTTTCATATTTATGATTTAGGTATAATGGCCTCAAGATGTGGCTAAACATATCTTCCGACATTTAAGAAAAAAGAAAATGTGGTTATGAGTATAGATCATTCTGGGACAAGCACCAATTGTTTTTGTGAAAAATTGCCTCACAGTTCATAATAATAGAAAGAAGTTTTCGGAATATTACCGCATACACGAGTCATCATCAATTTAAAACAAAACAAAAGAAAATGAAAGAAAAAATCTTCAGTTTCAGCTTTTTTTTTTCAGGTCACTACAAGCGTTGTATTTTCTTCATTTACTTTGACGGACACCGCTGTGGAAAGTTTTATACTGAATGGACGCCGCTGTGGGAAGTTTTAACGTGAAAAGTTTTGCTACTAGTAAATCACTGCTTCTCGCTCATAGAGAAGAAGGTCTAGCTGCATGACACTATATAAAAATAGCTTTCTTAATGACGAATGTTGTGGAACGCATCTGCTAAAGTGAACCTCGGTTACTGCTACTCAGTTTGCGTTATAACAAAAGTGAGCATGTTGCCGGAAGAAGTGAGTGTGTATATGAACTCTTAAGGCTTGGGAACTTGGTCATACTAAAAAAATGCATGTACGCCGAGATTGTTGGGAAAAGCAAATTTTCCCCAATCACGTCCCTGAACTTATCATTAGCGGAGGTCGTCTTGTACATGACGGCTTATACATATCTGCGCATGGTTCGCCGCGGTAGACCAGTGGCTGTGATGCTAGACTGCTGACCCGCACGTCACGGGTTCGATTCCGGGGGCGGCAGCCACGTTTCGGGGGAGACAAAACGGTAGAGGCAAATGAAGAGCAACAAAGAAAGCCGCTCAGCTCCGCTCTTCCTTGAGACTTGGCAATTCTTGCGCAAACTTGCCATAGTTTTATTTTGTACAGACGGTTTCAAGATTGCAAGCGTTGTGCGCGAAAAAGACTTCCGGTCACCTCATTTACCAGATGGTAACGTCGAAACTGAAAGGACGTTTTAACGCTTTTTCAAGGGTAAGGAAAGTCTCTTATTAGTTTTTCAGATAAAAAAAAAAAAAACGTGCGCAAAGCTCAAGGCAAAGTCTTTCAGTTTTTTTTATAGCGCAAACGAAGATTTATTTTAATATACTTTGGCAAATGATGGAGGGAAAGTGTAGAAAATTGGCGGGATATTTGCTAACGCTCTTCTTGCTCACCTATGCTATTCAGGCAAATCAGTTTACGAAACCAGAAGTCATCAAGATTCTGTGTTTGTAAACAGTGAACGGGGTGTATGAAAAAAACGCAATGTACACTGGAGATTTTCCACGCAAACTACATTTTTCATTTTCCTTTTTTTATTTGTTTTACCTCTCTCTCTCATATATATATATATATATATATATATATATATATATATATATATATATATTATATATATATATATATATATATATATATATATATATATATATATATATATATATATATATATCATTGAGAGAGAGGTAAAAAGAAAATTAAAGAAAGAACAATGTAGTTTGCGTGGACAATCCACAGTGAACATTAAGTTTTTTCCATACACCCCGTTTACTGTGTACATATATATATATATACAAAGGAAACAAGTGTATACTCAATGGCTCATTTTTTGTGTTTTACCCAATATTAATGAGATCTAACAGACAATAATGCCAAGGAAGGTATAGGGGAAGTTATTAGGCCAATCGTAATGTAAATGAAAAGAAAGAAAAGTGGGTGAAAAGATAACTTACCGTGGGCAGGATCCCACTTTTCTTTCATTGCATTTACATTACAATTGGCCTAATAACTTCCCCTATACATTCCTTGGCATTATTGTCTGTTAGATATCATTAATATTGTGCAAAACACGAAAAACGAGCCCTTAAGTATGCACTTGTTTCCCTTATTCATTAACGAGGGTCTCGTACTGGCAGACCTGGTGCCCCTAGGTTGTATACGGTGGGCTATTGGTCAGCTGCCAATTAGTGATAAGTTCACGTGCTACGTGACGCCAAACAGGCTCATAAAGAGTGTACCACACTCACCGCCATGGCTACTAGTGGCGCTGACTGACACTCCCACGTTTAAATTGACATAGATACCCAGTAAAGTGGCTGGGGGGATGGCTGTCGTGGTAGCTCAGTGGTAGAGCATCGAACGCGTTATTCGAAGGTCGCAGGTTCGGATCCTGCCCACGGCAAGTTATCTTTTCACCCACTTTTCTTTCTTTTCATTTACATTACAATTGGCCTAATAACTTCCCCTATACCTTCCTTGGCATTACTGTCTGTTAGATCTCATATATATATATATATATATATATATATATTGATATATATATACATTATATATGAGAGACGTAAAAAGAAAATAAAAAAAGAACAATGTGGTTTGCGTGGACAATCTCCAGTGTACATTGCGTTTTTTTCCATACACCCCGTTCACTGTTTACAAATATATATATATATATATATATATATATATATATATATATATATATATATATATTCTCCCTAGTCCCCTTCCCAATTGTTGTGGAGTCTATAGGGCACATCTCAGGACAATCTTCCTGCCTTTACCCATTTATTTCTCTCGCTCACTCTCTGTTTCAAGTTTAGCGGAAACTTCCTGTAAGAGTGCAGCAGGATGCCACGTGTACCGTGAAACGAAGCTCGCTTCTATTGTTCTGTACGATTTTATGCACAAGAAAGGAACACATTGCTGAAGGATACTTAGCAAACTATACTTTGTTATGTTTTGCCGGCTATCTCTGTGGGTGTAATTTCATTACTCACCGTTGACACACGAATGGAAAGCTAAGCGGATAGCGGTAACCTAAAGAGCGCCATGAAACCCAATTTTCGTCATAATTTTTCATTGCGGGTAATTATTGAGCAGTAACAAAGAAGCTGGCGAACTTTTAGCGCACTTGTTTGCGCAGTTAAGTTTATAATTGAAATTTTTTTACAAATACGAGAGCGGCCTGAGAGAAGGGCAATACTGGCGTACTTGCAAGTCGTGACGTAAGAAGCAGCTGGCTGTGCGAGTGTCTGCATTCCGGCGAAGGCTATTTATCCTTCCGAGCGTGAAACCGAGATTCTTGAAGTTTTTCCTGTTTGGCACTGAAATTAACTGATTTCGAGCCTATGAAACTTGGTAGACGATGATGGCACCACTCGTTGCTGCATGTGAGGTCACAGGCGCCATAGCAAAATGGCGATCGCCGGTGGTGAGCGGTATTTAGAGGTGGTGATTTCCTGGGGACAGATTTGCAATAAAATATTCTTTACAGCCCACTTTTCATGTCTTTATAGGCACAGTAAATCCCACATCTATTTTTCACTGAAAACTACATATCGTTGGGTGGCCGTGTCATGGCCCCTTCAAGCTCCATTCCAGTTTTCAGGTAGGCAGCAAAATAGAGAGCTTGGTGAAGACCGCAAAGGAGGCAGTTAAGCAAATAGGACAATGGTCAGTCAGGCGGCTAAAAAGTGTCTGAATAGGTCGACAGCTCAAAAAAAAAAAGACATTAGCGGAGTTTGGTATGCGCTCAACTGGAGCTAAATTACAGTTTTTACAGAGTTTGCCACGCAAGGCGTTGAAGAAAATATTAGTGAATGGATTTAGATTTCTCTTGTCGATGTGAGGTGGCGCCATGTTGAGCACTCGTCATGCTCACGCGTCTCATTTCCCGAGCGACTCGCGCTTGATGATTTCTAGGAAGCAGCTAACGCTGTGAACGATGCCGTCCAGAAATAGAACTCAACCTGTATATTGTATAGACAACGCGACACATTACAAAGACATGTAAAACCTCGCGTTGTCTTGCATCAAGCTTGTAAATAATTAATTTAATTTTGAAACATGTGGACGTGGCGTACCATATAAACACGAGCGTCGGTGCTCTTTTGCTTGTAGGATTTATCAATATTTGAACAAGTATGCTACCTTTAACACAACCTAATGTACAAAACACCTGTCCACCAAAGCCATCTGTTCAGTGAAATGGGATTGCGAGATTAACTACATCCAATCGGCAAACATCCATACATGCGTGAATGATATTTTCCGAGCGTGTCAACCCTTGTTCAGAGTGTCGTTATGAATTTAATAAGCAGTATAACTCATTAAACTGCGCACCCAACAGCAAAACTATCATATGTAAAAATGTTATCGCTTGCATCGAGCGAGAATAAGAGTAAAATAGAATTTTCTTTCATTTGTTTGGTTGCAAAAATTGCTCAAAAAGCCACAAGGTTTTATTCCCATACTTGTCCTTTTCGGTAAAAATTGCCGTCCCCATGGACAATGTTCATTGCCTGCTCCTTCGTGCCAACCTAATCAACTTACCGAGCCATCCTCTTTACATATATTTGCATAACTACAAGAAAAAAACATTTACATGGTAGATGGCGTTTTTAATACAAATGCTCATTTGCATAACGAAAAAACAAACGAAACAGATATATATCCTTTTCTTTAGTGTTGGCTAATTCCAGACCATGGCTGAAAGGTCGACTCTAGCTACATCACATGAGAAAGAAAATAAAGTAAAATGGTGAGTGAAAAGTTAACAAAGAGCAAATGAGTTTTT